AATTCATCATGGGGAAGAGGAAGAGACAGCTGCCTAACAGAAAGAGGACCTGGGACTATAGACATTTGGTCAGTCACCACTGGAAAGAGACCTGGAACTCTCAACACATCTAATCACATTCAAGGTTATAATAACCTGGATACACAATGACCAGCCTGTTGATTAGTTTACATGGAAAAGGCTGTGTGTAAAATATTGGGCCTTTGTCACAACTTTAGTTCATAAAATAAAGATGACAGTTTTGGGAATGCGTTAGTACACATGTCATTGGTAGTGACATATTATAAGGCTTTTATGATCTTAGCTGACTCCCATAGAATTGTTTTTAATATTTTTTTTTTCCTTTAGAAAGTGAAATAAAGCAAACGCCTCTATGAAAATGTTTGTTGATTTTTTCACATGTAGGATATATTAATCTCATAGTTAATATGTCCATTTGTCTAACTACTTAGCTACTACTGACAAATCTGAATAAAACTAATGCCTGGTGGAAACTCTGCAGTGCTTTTGGGCCCGCAGACGGAGCTGGGTGCCTCCTGCAGGTGGTGTGGGTTAGAGAGCTCCCCGCAACCCCCCGCCCGCCTCCCCAAGGCTGTGCTGGGTCAGGGCGCATGCCTCTGGACCCAGAGAGGTTCGCTCTGGAGTAGCCGAGCCAGCTACATCTGCCCAGACCTCCCAGGACGAAGATGCAGACTCTAGATTGTCCTCGGACGGTGTCGGAAATAACAGCTGGTCAAGCAGCATGGTGGGTCAGAGGGTTCCCTCACCCCCTCCCTAAGTGGCCTCAGCGTCTCTTGCCTTTAAGAGTCACGCTGAGCGTACTGATGGGAGACTAGTTCCGCTCTCGACCTCTCTGGAGCCTCGAGGTCCATGAGTTAGGAGACAGGAGCTAAGCCAATGAAATGCATATCTCCTTCTCAAGTACTTTCCCTCTGTGCCCTGCGGAATAAGACGTCCCCAAGTGGTTCGGCACTGCAGTTGCCTCAGGTGACACTAGTTGTGGTAAATGGCAGGCGGGCCCAAAAACCTAATCGGAAAATATGGGGAATGAGGTGAAAAGCCTGATATCCTCCTGGGAGGTGTGCAGGGCTGCGTGTGTGCCTGGGCAATGCCTGGGCAAACCCCAGTCTCTCACCTTCGGCTGACCCCGAGGCTCTACTCAGGCAGGGAGTGAAGGCTAAGGCAGAGGGGTACGCAGATGGCGCGCTGAAGATCTGGCCCCCACCCACACACTGCCCTTGGCAAAGGGTGGAAGATCCATTGGTTCATGGCATTTAAGGCAACCTGTCTTATCACTAGTCAAACACTGAGCTTAAAGGAGCAGGTAGTTCAGTGGCCACGTACAACCAAGAATACACACGTCAGAGAACAGTCCAGAAAAGTCACATAACACGTAAACCGCAACAACAAAGACCCTGGCTGGGTGGGAGAGGAATCTGATTTCCAGAGTTACCAAATTATGTTATTTGAAATGTTGAGTTTTCAACAAAAAATTACAAGACATGCGAAAACTTGGAGCCAGTCTGACCTCCAGAGGGGAAGTTCAGTGATCTAATCAACCGTGCATACGCCACGAAGCCCCGTTCAAGATTCTGAACACCAGAGCTCCGCGAAGGTTCCTGGCTGGTGAACGCATGGGTGCTGACAGGGTGATTCGTCCTGCCTGGCTCCTTGGGGAGAGGGCGGAGCAGCTCTGCATCTAGGACCCTCCCTGGCCCTACGTGTGTCTCAGTTTGACTGTTCCTGACCTGTAACTGTCAGCCTAGAGTGCTTTCCTGAGTTTTGCGAGTCCAGTGAATGACTGAGCTTGTGAAGATTCCCGCTGGGGACCCCTGGCCATGTGGCTGGTGTCTAAAGTCCGATGCTGACTCTGGGTGCTTAGCGTCAGAGTTGAGTGACAGCGCGCCAGCTGGTTTTGGAGCAGTCGGGGTCAGTGTCAAAATTACCAACTTCCCCATTTTTCCCTTAGATCCTTATCATTGTTAATTTTCAAAAGCAAAACACCCCAAACTGCTAAAAGTCTAGAGCTAACAAGTTAATATATGACAGGGTGCCTGTCAGCCAATTACAAGTTTTACGACATTCAACACAAATGTATTTTCTGCATTTAAAAAATTTATTCCCCTATTCTGCTTAGAGCGACTAAAGTCCATCTTTGATGTAAGGCATGTTTAAAAAAAATTACTATTGATAACATAAAAGGGTCCTTAGCTAACCCACAGAACTTAATTTATATGACCATTATAGATGTTCTGATGAGTTTTCAGATGAAAAACAGTAACATTTCAAGACACGCATAAACCGCCAAACCTGTTTCCGAGGAATTCCGTGTTGCAAAACATGCAAAGGCCACGAAAACTGTTATCGTTTCGTTCTTGCTGCTGCTGTTCCAGAATTTCTTTCTGTAAAGTAGCAACAGATAGGTGATATTATCTTTAATGAATGCACAGTCGGCTAATGAAAAATGTCAGAGTCCGGATGGGAGGGAATCGGGGCCGGAGCACAAAGGGAGCCCAGGAACACGGACAAAATTTCAAACTCCCCCCTTCGAAGCCGCGCACTGAATTTCCAGGCGCACTCCACCAGGGCCGCTCTGCAGGAGACGGTCCCCAGGGCCTCGCCGCGCTCCCCTCCCCGCCCTTCCTCCTGCCTGTACCAGCCAGCTCCCACCCCGCCCTCTTTCAGAAACGAAGATGTGGTGGGATCTTTGACCTGTCCCTTTCTGTGATTCTCAGTTTAGTCTGAGCAATTTTTCACTCGAAGCATCTTTCAAATGACTTCTGGCCACCATTCCCAGTGTCATCGCCCCAAGTCTGCTTTCTAGTCGGTCACCATGGGAAAACTTCAAGTACGTCTCTAGAGGGTCTCTCCGACTTCAACCTTCTCTCCATCATATCCACTCTCACTTTTCTGCTGGAAAAACCTTCTTAAGTACCGTTTACACGCATAAGTACGCTGTTGCTCTCTAATAATTTAAATTCGCTTTGGTAACGCCCTGCTCTCATTAGAGTGGCTCTACACGACCCTCCCTTGAGGTGACTTTATGTCTCTGCTTTTTCACTCTTAGAAATCTTGTCTGTTCTTTAAGATCCAACTCGATCCACTCCTATCATACAGCCATTTCTACATGTTAGTCCGACGATTAAGAGCTTAGGCTCTGAAACACCGAGCACACCTAGATTTGAAACCTGGCTCTCTCCTGGACTCGATTTAATCTCTTTAATCCTCAGTCTTCTCATTTTTAAGAGGAAAATGAAACTATTACCTCACGGCATTGTTTACAAGATTAAATAAGATGATTTATATAAAGAGTTCAAGTTGCGCATGGCGTATTAAATGTTGGATGTTGCTGCTATCCAGCCAGTGTCAATCTCCTGCGCTTATTACCCATCATCCCCTTGGAAGCTGTTGCCTGCTTTGTCTTCTGAAAGGGTACGAAAACTCTTTGACGTTAAAAGATTTATTCTGCTCTTACATCTACATGCTACTCTACACATTCTTACAACACAGCTCTAAATTGGAATTTCATAAAGTTTACTGCTGATTCTACAAGTATTTATAGAACAGCATAAAAATGAGCTAGCATCTAGAAGCTTAATAAATTCAATATGGCCTTTTCTAACATCTAGAAATATTAGCATCTAGAAATATTAATCCACTGAAGAAAAAGAAAAGAAGCTACTGTGATAAAAATCAATTCCATGAACTTCTGGTTTCAGTCACAATGGAATAATGGATCTCTCACTTCCCCTGTAAACTACTAAACCAAACTGCTTCGTGTATTTTATCTGTTTTCAGACATTGGATAATAGACGGCACAGGGCTGTGATCCTTAAGAGAAAAAAATAATACACTGCCAGTTTTCTGCTGGGCATTTTCCAAATTGCAACATAGGGAAATTAAATCCGAACGAAGAGCAGCTACCTCACTGGATACAGAAGAAAGGACTGGCGTTCGGCGTACCGGTGCGAGGGGCATCCGCGGGCCGAGGTCCGCGGGGGCGGGAGAGCTGCAGGGGCGCTCAGGGCACCCGTACTGGGATTCTCTGAACCTCTGTGCTAATGCTGAGCTGTACATGTACAGAGCAGGGTGCTGCGAGGCCTGACCGAGGAGTTTCCAGGGGGGATTCCAGAAGGTTCAGCGCTGGAATATGCTGGAGTTCCGACATGCAGAATGCAAATACCTCGCTCACCACTTCAGGGGGACACAAAAGTAAAGAACGCGTTCTAGTTCCCGAAGGGCAGGGCTGTAAGCTGGTAGGAAGTGGTAGATAAAAGCACAATAAAAGGCATAAAGTCGATGAATTGGACAATTTTAATTATCCCTCTTTAAGTGAACTTTACATAAAAACTAAAATTGACAGTAAGAGTCCAACAAAAGAGCTATTGGAAAAGGAAAGCTCTGCTTGCATAAGCATGCATGGTTTGCCTTCAAAAACACATTTCAGATCCCTATGTCGACAACTCTGTCAGCAGCAAAAACAAAAACCCAGCAGATAAAGCTCTTGGTGCAATCGCTGTTGCTGCCCTGCAGAAATGGTGAGCATGTTCTGTGCCTGCCCGTTTTCAGCCCACGAGATCCGCTCGTGCTCATTAGAAACCATCATCCTGGCTCATATTTCCCAAGCTTGTGATAACATAACACAACTTTGGTTAGAGAAAAACCTTACTCAGTGTTACCTTGGCTTTGATTCAGCACAAACCAAACAGATCTGTGAGCCTGAAGCAGAGCGACGCGCAGCCATCTGAGGTTCTCTTCAGCCATAGTTAAGGTTTATCAGTGGACTCTGACGTGCGCGGCTTGAGTGTAGACACCTGAAGCTGTACAGAAACCGGGTCTTCGTGGGGGGCGCCTGACTGACACTTGGGGAGATCAGAGGCAGCAGGGACAGCCAGGGCAGTAAAGCCAGAGGCTGCCTTCACGGCGAGTAGCTAAAACCCGGCTGGCCTTCTGCCTTCTGTTCTGTCGTTCAGGAGCCTCTCGTAGGGCGACGGCGCGATCCGGGGGGCTCCCAGCCGCGATGTCCGTGCCGCCCACGACCATGGGAGGTGACGCGGGCTCTGGGGCACCCTGTGTCGTCTCTGGTCTCACAGGCTCCATACAACTTTACCCTTTAATTTCACCCAAGTTCGTCCTGCCAAGACCTGCCTTTTGTCTGTTGCTCATGCTTTTGAATCTCTTTCCCGGGCCCTCCCGCCAGGAGCCAGTGAAAGCTTCCGCTGCTCCGCCGACTCTCCGCTCGTTTCGAGGGCTGCAGTACCGGTGACGCAGGGCCGAGCTCTGCAGCTGGGAAGAACGGACACTGTGACCAGCCGGCTCCGCTTTCACCGGAGTCTCCGCTCCGATGGGTGGGCTCCAGCCTGTGTTCTCGCTGCACTCGGCTTGTGGCTGCAGTAAGGTGGACACTGCCTATGCCCTCCGGGCTCTCGTCCTAACGTAGCTCCATTAACGTGTCCTACATCCTAATGACATCTATCCTCCCACTAAGATCCCCTCCTTTCTGACCATGACTGCTCACTACTGGCTTTTCAGAAGGGACCTCGTGAAACTATTTACTAATCCCCTATAAAGAGATCTTACGGCGACTTGTTTAAAGCTACATAGCCACTTGGTGCCAAAGACGGTGCTGTTGCCAGGGTACCATATTTGCTTTTTTTTTCCTCTCAGAAGGTACCCACCGGAGTATCTGTAGACATGTAGGTAACAAAGATCTTTCTGTTTAGTGGACAAACAAGTTCAGAGCCCCGCAGATAGAGACTGGACAGGTAGGGCAACTTAAAAACCTTCCTTTCAAAATGTCCACAGTTTCATTTAGATGAGTCTGGAATTGATTAGCTTCTCAGCATCTGAGGCTTTAGAACACACCGAAATAACAAGGTGAATAATATATACAATCACAACCGTGCCCACTGAATTAGAGAAAGAAGTATTCTGGATAAGCAGATTTTCTAGAATGGAGAAATTTTAATTTTGTGTTTAAAGGGTTAGCAGTTTTACACAGATGGTTTCCAAGACACCGCTCGTGTTTCCTCTACCGTCCACTCGGGACATAATCGACCTGGGCTGCGTGACGCAGGGCCCTCGTATGAACGGGCACTTCCACGCTGGACCGTAAGAGACACCCACGTCTCACCGTGTGTGTTCTTCTGGGTAACTTTCTCCTCTCTTGAATGGCCGTCTGTGTTTATCTCCTTTTACTCACTGAAGCTTTTCATCACGGTGAGTGAGTCTACTTCTGTGCCCTCAACTGGCTCCCCCATCGACACCTCCTTTCCACGTGCTTTTTGCTATCCTCTGTTTAGACCTCCTGTTCTTCTCCTTAGCCTAGAACGAAGCGATAGGAATTCTCGAGACCCAGGCAAATGAAATCCAGATAATCAAATTCTGTGTATAAAATTAAGTCGAATGTTTGGTCCGTGGGAAACAGCATCCCCCAGTCTCCTGTCTGGATGGCTCCGTGGCAGTTATTTTCACCCTGCAGGGATGCTTTGTTGTTACTTGTGTGTTCTCCGCTGTTTGCATCTACTGAGGTTAAGATATCAGACGGAGAGATTTATAGGAAAGACCTTCCTTGTACACACATTTAGAAAGTATGTTGATGTGCTGCGTTCCCAGAGGGATGTAAGTCAAAATCTGATTGTACGTGGACCTTAAAAATGAGTCTACAAAAATGACTACATCTGAACTGGTATGAGACAGAGGCTTAAGCAAAGCAATAGTTCTCCTTTTTCTTCCGAACAAAATCCATACTATTTAGAATGGCATTCACAAGGCCTCCCACGTGATTCTAACCTAGGTTATTCAAAGCCTTCTCTTGCATTGTTTCCTCATATAAACCGTTTCAGGAAAAACAGGAGCATCTGCTATAATTACTTGTGCATTGTTATCCGCGGTAGCAGTTCTCAGTGACCTGTTATCATTTCTCAGGCTTCTCAATGGCCCGGGGCACTGTCCCCTTTTCCTCCATCAGTCTGTGTGTTCTGCAGTCCGCTACCCTACTAACCCTTCGGAGCTGGGTTCAGACGCTACGTCTCCGGTGAGTGGAGGCTGGGACTCAGGAGATGTGTATTCTTGTCCTGTTTTTCCGACTAGCTGATTCTTAATGTGGCCACGGGCATGTCACCTCTCTAGGACTTCGTTGCTGGTGATCTCTAAACTGCTTGAGAAACATTCTGTGGACATAAAGGTGACTGTCCCTGACCGCTCTCTGCTAGAGGCGACATGTCATTTTGCCAGTCTGTAGCATTTCATTGGCTTGGTTTTCAGGAACACTATGTCCCAACCCGTCTCTACTGGAACACGAGCTCCCTTACGCCACATGACATGTCTTGCAGCAGATCCTGGATGAATGCATGACCACTAAATAAACACCCAGGTACAACAACGTACACACTATAGGCCC